GGCCTTGGCTGTGAGAGCCAGCCTCGCCTTCCAAAATGCCTCTTCCTCTTCTTCTAGTTACAAGACCAAGGAGAAGAAAAAGGACCTTCATCCTCGCCGTAATAACAACAAGGCCCGCATTTCTCCCGTTCTGATTAATTATACAAACTCCGACGTGGACAGAGATGACTTCAATGAAATTACCATCGGAGCCTCGGCCTACAAAGGGCAGATGAGCCAGAAGCAGCAGATTTCGAGATCTAAGTCGGTTAGGAAATTGCAGAGATACACATCCAAAAGGGCCAAGATGGCCGTCCGATCTTTCAGACTTAGATTGACGACCATAGACGAAGGCTCCGTCCTCTGAATCTCTGAGTTGCAACCCCAACAAACAATTATATTCCGGCTTCCGACGTGTTTTTATGTCATGTTGTTGTGTAGAAATACAATCAGACAAATTTACAGAATTACATTTTATTTATTATGCTACTCCTTTCATTTTCTTTTTTCTTTGTTTCTTGTATTTTAAATTTATAATTAAGAAGAGGACATATGTACATATAAATACTACCCAGAGTGTGTGCGATTTTAGTATGTTGTCGCCCATTTCAATAGGAAAGTTTCTAATTAAAAAAATACTACACGAATATTTTCGGTCTTGGCTTTCTTCAGTTTTTAATTGAATGCCCGTTATTCTCATTCTGTGTTTTCTCTCTGCCAATAATGTTGCTGTATTTTTTTTTTATTTCTTACAAATGATATTGTACTTTAATCTAATAATTATGAGGTCATGGATTCAAATTCGGGTGCAAATGAAAAACACATGGGTACTAAAAGTCAGCTTTGACTAGCAATTGTTGGAGAGCGGAGAAGAGAACACAGTTTCGGAAGGAAAGGCAGTATTCCGATTTTGAGAGGTGAAAGCGTGTAGAAGCAAAGAAAAATCAAGATATTTGGCAGAATTTTCCTGCTTCCTTACTGCCTCTGAAGTCTACAGAAGGGAACACATTCCTAAATTGACAGCAATAAGTTAAACATCTTAATTTTATTCTTAATTGCGTTTCTTTTCTCCAACTTCATAAATCCCGTTTAAACTAACTTTTAGTTGCCTGTGTGGTTGTAGAATGTAGACTAACAACCTACACAGTTACACCCCAAAAATGATATCACCAATTTGAAAAATGGGAACGAGTCTGCATGTTCACCACATTGGACCCTTCTTCTTGTGTACGGTACGTACATTCACTTGCTGATGAATCATAGCTTCAAAGAATCGTGCTCAATTTTCTTTCTTTTTTCTTTTTTGTTAGTTTGGAATGGAGTCAATGACGGAGCTAAGATTTCATATTAGAGGGGGCTCTTCATAAAATTTGTCTTATCTTCATAATTATCATGAATTTCATATTTTAAATTGGTTAAATACTAATTTTAGGAAATTGATTAAATACCCATTTCTAGACATAGTTCTATAAAGAAACCCTATACCATTCAATATATATAAACACACCCAAAATAAACACAAAAATTGACAGCTGTCGATTTCTTAAATTCAACAGCTATGTTGGATTACTGTTTTGCCCTTTTGCCTTGTCTATTAATCAACTCAATCTTCATCAACACACATCTCGAACTTTCTTCTTCTTCTTCAACAATCGAGATTTGCTTCTGGCTTTTCTCCTAGTCCAATTCCCATTTAATCTTCATCATCTCCACCACAGCCCTCGCCGACTCCATCACCACAACTCGTCGCCGATTCACCTTCGCCCAAAACTCTATCTCCGATTTCCCTTCGCCCAAAACTCTATCTCCGATTTCCCTTCCTCCATCTCCTTCAGACGCTCCAATGAACGCACCATCCTTCTTCATCTCCGACGCTACCGCAATCATCTCCGTCTCAATCTCCATCGGTCGAAGACACACCTCCAATTCCTTCTCCAGCGTCATCGAATCCGAGCGATGTCAACCACATCAACCTCAATGCAGACGGAGACGAAACTAAGAACTCCTCTAGAGGAATGAGTCTGGCAAAGAAGGCAGGGATCGTACTTGGATTGATCGTTGGATAAAATTCATCAATCTCAGTATGGATACGCCACCAGGAGAGAGATTCTCTGAAGAACTACTCAATCTCTCATACACAAAAGCTCTTAGAGGTTACTGTGAAATTTTTAATTTCTCGTAATTTTTTGTTGTTGTTAATTTATGTGTTTGCTTAGTGTATGATTGAATTGAGATTTTGGCAATGGAGATATGGTGATTCAATTTTATTCTTCATTCTTTGGAGCGCCGACGAAGGTAGAGTTGGTGGTAGTCATAATTTTGGAATGAGTTCTTGGAGTAAAATACTTAATTAGTCAATATGAGTCATTGCTGTATTGCTTTTTCTATTTTAGAATAATATAATATAGTATTTGTTGTCACATGTATCTACATATTGACATGTCTCTGTGTTCTTGTACGCATGATTGCCCGTGTAGTTTTCTAATGTATGTCTTACATGTATATATCAATATGCATGTATCTATCTATATACACAAATAGCCTTAGGCTCCTAAAGCATGTTAGTTGGGTCATTGATTAGGATTACAATTCAGTGAATTCACTCAAGTAGGCATCCTTCTTATTTCAGGGGAAATGCCCCCCATTCTCCCTCTCGCTCAAGTAGGCATCTTTCTTAGCTTGTGTACTGTTTGGATTCTTTATCGTACCTATTATGCAAATGAAATGACGTAGTTGTTAACTTCCAGTAAGTGGTATGAACAATTGTTATACTGTTCATACCATGCTACTGAGATGATTTCTATGACATAGTATTAACAGTGCACTTCTATGACATAATATTACATAATATTAACAATGTACTTCTATGGCATAGTATTAACAGATTTTCAGTAACAAAGCATGCTCTATATTTTGCTCTATATATAGCTATGCACTTGAAGTTTATGATATGCATAATGTAATTTTTACTAGGAAGATAGTGTTATGACATAGTATTAAAAGTGTTTTTTTTTCTTCTTGTAAATGTATTTCATTTTGCCTTTGCGATTGTTTCTGGTGAAACTGTGAACAATTGGAGGTGGTTTCTGCAAAGGATATTGGATGTCTTGCTGGGCCTTTTTTTTGGGTTTTTTGAGTTTTTTTGTATGAAATGGTATTAACAATGTACTTCTATGATATGGTATTAACAATGTACTTCGAGCTTGCTGGGCTTGTTTTGGGTTTTTTGTGTTGGGCTTATTTTAAGTTAATCAATGGCAGTCATGTAATTTATAGGAACTTCTACACTGTACTTCTATGACATGGTATTAACAATGTACTTCTAAGCAGAAACTAAGTGTATTAAAGAGAAAGAGAAAGAGGGGGCAAAACACACAAACTCAGAAACACACAAAAGAGAAAAGAAAGAAGAAAAGAAAGTGAGAAATCAAATGGCCTCTTCCTACCCATTTTCATTGGATCTCAACCTAGTTCCACCGACTCAGATATGGGGCCAAGCAGCGGCACTAGTATGGATGCCCTACTTTGCCTCCGCACGGGGGCCTGTGACAGTAATTGACTCAATACTCATGGACAACGATGTTGCCATTGGAGTTGGTAGAAATTGAGTGACCCCCAAAGATATACGTGTGTTGGGAACAAGGGATGACAACCGGGTCACGAGTGATGCCCTGGCACTGAGCGTGCAGAGTACAGCATGTGTCGCAAGTTTGGGTCATCGCTTACTTGCAAAGTCCCATGAGGTAGAGGTGCTGAAAGGTCAGTTGGCAGCGGAGCGAAGTATGGTTGAAGAGTGTCAGAGTGCTATAAAAAGTTTGAAAAGAGAGAGGGCAAGGATAGTGGAGGTGAATCGACACCAGCTAGAAGTATTGCGGGACAAGAATAAAAACATATCAAAGATGGTAGAGTTGTACTCTCGAGACATGCGTAAGCAGCTGGAGGACCTAGACCGACCGGGTAAACGCAAGCAAGCAGATCGCGAAAGTAGTTACGCTCAAGCTAAGAGTGCGATCTTTGGGAGCTCAAGTGATGAGCCCCAAGAGGCTGTGCGTGAAAGCCCAGAAGAGGACATCCAGAGGGCCAAACTAAAGGTTCCTATGGTCGAGACACCGAGCACTGTGAAAAAGTGATTTCTAATGTATTATTGGTGTGCCTGTTTATTTCGCCTTTCCCTTGTATTTTTTTTGTTGTTGTTTTTGTTTTTGTTATTTTGTTTTGGAAATAAAAGAGTAAAGTTGCAGAAGGAAAAAGAAAGAGACAAAGAAAACACACTTCCCAAACTTAAATCAAACAAAGACGACAAACGGAAAAGAAAACACACTTCCCAAACTTAAATAAAACAAAGATGACAGCCGAAAGGGAAAGGCAAAAAACACAAAGCACCAGAAAATGAAAGTAACTGGCAAAAACATAAAACACCAGAAAACACGGAGGAAAAAAAGAAAAGTAAAATGAAAGTAGAAATGCTCCCCCTTGAAGCGATTAGGTCGAGCATGCCCGGGAAATCCGAAATGGCGTTGGCTCCCTCATCAGCATATGTGTATTTAAACCACGTCTCTGCAAGCGGATGATATCCTGCATTTCTTCCTGCAAACTCAAGGAAAACCATAAAAAAAAAATTCCACAAACAAAACAATGGCATCCTGTAGGGGTCTTTTTCTTCCGGCAGCGAGTGGGCTGGGCTACCCCAAGGAGAAATCTGATGCAATTGTCCCCTTTGTATCTGAGTCCGAAGATTAAGCCCCAAAAACGTCTCGAAAGGGTGATGACGCCTTAGGAAACTCTTTGGTTATCTTTACCAATGAAAATAACAACAAATTGCAAGTAAATCTTCTAGCTTGGTATGAGAGAGTTATGGCATGAGAGCAAAATTATCATGGGTTTAGCACTTTAGGAGAGAGAGCTGTGGGTTCCTATGAAGGACAGAGGTTCTAATGGAAGGGTAGAGGGGTTGCAAGGAGGTTTGGTGAAGAGTTTTGGGTGATTTTCGTGGTTTCCGGCAGCTTGACAGTGACTCTGTCAAAGCTGCTACCAATATGTCAAAATAAGGGCAATAGGGGAAATGGGCAAGGATAGCACGAAAATTACTGGGTTTTGCATGTGAGAGAGAAAGCTTGCTCTCTGATGGATGTGGGTTGTGCTGTGTTGGGTAGAAGGGGTCCTATTTATAGCTGCTGGGAATGGGTCTTCTCCAAGAAACCCTAATGGCTTCTTCCCAATATAACTAAGCTTTCCTCTTCCTTTCTTCTCCTATTTCTTGACTTTCCTTATGGTGGCAAAAATCAGTTCTGCCCAATCCCACAAAATCAGAGATTTTTGGGAGCTCCAGGCTTCTTCCGACGACTGCTTCAGAGGGGAGCTTCCATTTTCGACCATCTTCCTTCCCCTTTCCATGGCCAAATCTGATAAAGGAAAGAAAAATGGACATGCCTACTGGTTCGAAAAGTGGCATCCTTCCCTACGTGCCAATATCCCTTGGTCCTTCGAATGCCTTTGCTGGAAATTTGTTCCCCCATCACGTGCTGAAGCTTCCAGCGACCCTGCATACATGGACACCTTCGCTCCTTTTCGTAGCTTTTTTTTTATTTTTTATACCCAAGTGATGAGGCTCCTGTTGACTTTTATGCTAATTGTATGGGCTTCTTGAGATAACAATATGACTTGTCAAATA